ACTGTGTTGTGATCTAACAAGYATTACACAATTTTTTGGGTAATCAAAAAGAAATTATATTTCTTTTGAAACTTGTGTGGGATTTAATGAAACTTGTATGGGATTTAAAACACTATGGTTTATGAAATAATTTAACAGTTGAATTAAGAGGGCAGGATTCCTAGGAATTAATTTGTCTGAGAGGCAGAGTTACTTTTATTAGGTGGTTAAATGTATCTGCCAGTGGAGTATGCGGCTGTGGCTACTGGTGGAATGAGCAGCAGATCTTTCGCATGATCCATCTGTAGACTTTTCTTCGGTACACTGGAGTACCAAATTACCACAGTATGGGAATTCTGAATGAGCAGTTTACRTGTGTCTAGTGTTTTGGTATGTTCTGAAAGAGGGCTGTAGTGCAAGCTCCTACCTTCGAGAGATRTGCGTCACCCTGAAAGCCTAAAAAACACCCAAACATTTCCAACAAGTGCCAGCCAGTGATGAGAAATATTTCAGTTTGCTTTCCAACAATCTACATAACCTGGACCTGCCACTGGAAAAAGAATTTCTTTGTAAGTCACTTTGCTGAGTAAGCTTTTAGCTGGTAGATAAAACAATATTAGATGGCTGACAAAATTAAATAGAATTTATACATTTCTTAAAAGTAATTTAACTCTTTATCTAATAAAATCAGTATATAGCAATAAAATACTACTTTAATTTGGAAAAATATGTTCATTAATTTGGCAGGAAGAGTTTCAAGTAAATTCCTCAAATGTTTTATTATTCTGTGGAAACGCTTCCCATGAATGAGTAAAGCCTTAAGCACTTGGTAAACGTATCTAGCCTTGTAGTTCCACACCATTAYCCACCAACGTAAGTCTGTGGTGAGTGTGTATTCCTAGACAAGGTAATAATTATGATCTGATCCTTGTAAGTATGCAAGTACTTGCATACCTTTATTGTTACGAGTATTTCTGTTGAGTCACATACATAAGTGTGTGGGAGGAGGTAGGATCGAAACCTTATTTTACATAACTGAGTTGTTCTTTGTGGATAATGCTTAATCCACTTGCAGCATCCTATGATTTACATCTATGAATTTTAAAACTAGGTAACCATTAATGCTCAGTAAAGTCTCTCTAGGTAGATTACTCTTGTCATTCTTGAATTGTTATGATTCATTAGTTGTCACTGAATAGCTCCTGAGTTGAAATTTATTGTGTGTGTGTTTAGAATATAGAAAAAATATGATGTTTTATTACCTATTACTGGAGGAAAATAGACACTGTTTAATGTCTGAGGATTGCTATTACTAAACTTTTCTCAGGGTTCCTTTCAGGAAAAGAAGGCTGCATTTTTCAGTTAAAAATGCATAAGCTTAAAAGAATAACACCATAACCTTTCTTGGTATATTCTAAAACATTAAAGAATCGTTTTTCTGTCTTTCAGTAAGACTTCCAGTTATCTTTAAAGTCACAACTTAAACCTTTTTAAGGATTGCATGGGAAGAGGAGGTGGAGATAATTAGGTCTTCTTTTTTAACTACAAATACCCATTTATCTTCAACCGCCAGATTGAAATGGGATAAAATAATCCTACATGTTTACAAACCTCTGTTTTAAATAACTATTTAGTTGGAGAGAAATAAGTTACATTGGTATTTATTTTTTGTTATTAGCAGCTAAAGGAAAAGTTTCCCTCCATGACCAAACTCAAGGGAGGTTGTTGGGGGCCTTTCTCTCATGAAGAAAGCGGGAGAGAGATCTGGGCCTGGCTTCCATCATGTTACCTGGTGGGCTGACTCTGTAAGGAAGAYAAGTAGCCTATCGAGCCAACTTTGTTTTCCGCAGCTGGAATCGTTGGGCTATTTTGGGAATCACTTGAAGGAGGTAGGATAGCTTGGGCTATTCCTGTGCTGGTCTTTGCTTGGGCAGCGCCAGGGTTTTGGCGGGGAAGCCAGTTCTCCTCCTTGCTCTGTGCCAGGCCGATGCCGAGGCTGGCAAGAGCTCGGTGCACCGAGTCACTCGGCTCGTGCAAAGCGACTGTCGGGCAGCAGAAGCATTTTCAGYGGTACCCTCAGTGCTATTAAATCATCATTTATTCACATGGCTTGTCATTTCCTGTGCCTCCAGGACARTCTCGCTGTGCTGAAACCAGCAGGTTTGAAAGGGAATTTTATAGGCAGGCTGGTACAGGCTTGGGATCCTTGCAGTCCCACTTTCTGACTTAAGCTCACATGTCGGATCTTTGAAATCTTGCAGGAAATACGAAGCCTTCTGCATTTCCTCAGGAGGGTTTAGGCCAAACAGTGTCGGTCACAAGCTTCATCTCGTGCCCAGGCCTATTTTGGAATCTCGCTGTTCAAAGTGACTCATGCCCGATCCAGTGAGGACTGCTGCAGTTCTGCAATACCTCYAGAGCAGTTGGTTCTTCTCATTATATAGGAGCTTCATGACTGCCTCTGTGGCTGCTTATCTGATTATCTGTATGGATTCCTATGCAAACAAGTATATTGGTCAGCTGAAAAACGCTTGTTGATGATGGCTAGAAGCAACTTCTTGACAATAGCTTTTTAGTCTGGCAACCTATATGTCATGAAGGTGACTAAAGAGTAAATGTGAATTGCCTTCCCTGACCGAATTTTTCAATAGTTGGCTACATGTTCCTACAAAGATTATGCAATGCATAATCCTATTGAAGTGACTCAACTCACTGCATGCAGATAAGGACATGTATGGACTGCGTGGAGTGTGGTCTTCCTGAGCAGTGAGAGTTAGAATCAACCCTCCAGTCTCAGCAGCAGTTGGTGCTTGCCTGCTGTAGTGAAAATGACCCTTGTTCTGCGTTTTTAATCAAGTTTAGAAGGCCTCCTGCGTAAGTGTAAAGAGAAGAGTCAGAGCTTTTTATCTGTTGCTCTGAATTATTGTATTTTGTATGTATCTTGCATAGACATACATTTTCACTTCCTAATCAGATGTCTACAAAGTAATTTGCAGTATGTATTTCCACTTTTAGGTCACTTCAGATTTATTATTATTATTACTATTATTTTCCCAAAAAAGGTTGACATGCAGTTTTTTTTCCATTTAACAGATAGTATGAAGAATTCTGTAACTTCCAGAAGCAACTGTCTGATTGTGCTTTGTTCTGTGGATAAAAAGTAGCTTTAGCTCTGTGTGAGGAATTTGTAGCCATTGCCTGTAGCAAATTTATCATCTTGTGTTTACACATCTGCATTTAGTTATGCATGAAAAAGATGAAGTAAAATCTGGTCATATTGGTGTTTAGTTTTTAGATACAAAATGAGAATAAGAAAGGGAGATCATGTGAATTTTAACCACATTGTCCTGTGACACATTCAAAACAATAAAGGAAACGGGATTGCAGATTTATGAGCTTAATCAAATCTTTAGCTTTTTAGTGTGTTAATACATAAAAAAAAAAAAAAAAAACCAAAAGAAAAAACAAACCTTGGCCCACATGTAGGTGAACTGATTGTACTTGTAAACCTCTGAACAATGTTGTGCTTTTTCTTCTTCCAAACATTTTTTTCTAATTCTATTCCATTTGTAACTTACCAGCATTACTTTGCTTTCCTGCTTGAAAATTAGCTTTATCATGTGCAGCTATCTAGATTGTAATATAAGTGTTTTTCCTCCTTCCACCTTTGTAGTACAGAACCGGGCTCCTGCTATGCACAGGTTTTCATGGGAAGAGCGGGGTTGTTCCCAAAGCTGTACTGTGATGAAACTGAGGAGACAGAGATGAGGCAGGGGAGTGATCAGAGCACAAACTTGCAAGGATTGTTAGCTCCATAATCTATTTTCTTGAGTGGCAATAAACAATATTGTTTCGGTGTATGACTGGAAAAAGGAATATTATGTCCTTAGATCCCAATCTGGGTGTTTCCTGTGGCTTTGTATTCCATTTGATATTTTGCTTGTGTTGCCAAGTAGGCAATGTCAGAGGTGAGCTGTCGTTCATCTTTTATAGAGGAAAGGCTGTTTGAACTAGTTCGGCTCCGAAGTCTGGTGTAGACACTCGTCCACACCAGAAGTCTGGAGTAGTTCAGCTCCAAAGTCTGGCATTTGTTTTTCCTGATGATTTTCCTGGTTTGATAGGAATCAACTATCAAAGGATGGAACTATCATCTGATAATGAGAGTTGTGCAAAGGTTTCTAACACTGCTTTGATAACACTGTGTTTATAAATTGCTGAGTAATGAAATACTAGACCCAGAAATTGAACTTCATGGCTGAAAACTCATAATTCTCAAAGGAAAATATGTGTTTGATAGGGTTTTCTTGTATGTAGTTTTAAGTTTCAAGGCTTTGAATGCTTCCTTGCACTGCATTTAAATTGGTAGAAGGCARCAGCTGTGTATAAGATATTATAAAAACATGCGCTCTAGGAAAATAAATATGTAGCATAACCAGAAAGGTTAAATAAAAGTTGAAATTGTAGTATTGTGCTTTAAACTAAATCAGGCCAGTCACAGTTGAGATACAGCAGGGTGAGCCGGAAAATACAAAGAAAGGGTTGACACTCCGTGCTTCTCATGAAAGTGCATGCTGTAATGATATATCCATTCTCCCATTTTCAGCAAATTGCTGTATTTTGTTTCATTTTTCTCAGTAATTACTGTTTATATAATAGAAAATGTGGATTCTAAAGCATTAATTTATTTATTTTAAATAAAAGTTTGTAGGTAGGCATCAGTTGGTAGATATTACAGTGTTTTGGTATTTAAAACAACACTGGAAGAGTGAAATAGGATGCCTCTACCTAATTTCTACTGCAATCTTGGTTTACAATTTCCCCTTTAACACTTTTTTCTTATTTAGAAGGAGGAAAGCTTTCTGTTGCTGCTCAGATTTGCCAAACAGTCCATATAAGCTTTTTCTAATTGTACAAGAGCTGTCTTTTTGTTCTGTGTCAGAAAAAAAAAATTAATTATGTTTCAGAATAAAGATTTCAATATTAGTTTCAAAAATGTTGTTTTGATTTTATTTTTCAGAATTTGAAGTTCTGGTGATCTATCATGGGGAACCACGTAGGAAAGAGAGACCACAGCACTGAGAAGCCAACCAAGGTAAGAGCAGAAATAGAAGAGGCAAGGCTATTTCAGGAATATACATGTTATCAAATACATATTATGTAGTACATAAATGTGTTTTCAAGATTACTTTCTCCATTACTATTCGACAGTTGTTATTTTCCTGTGCTTCAAGAGGAGAAGCTTCTGTATGGGATATAACCAAACTGGGATTTTGCTGTGCTGAATTTGATGCGAGATGCACTGTTTTCATTCTTCAGATGTGTATCAGATAAGAAGCTTCTCACTCATGGTGGAAACAGATGGAATGTGGCTTAGAAGGAGGAAAATGCAACTGTTTTTAAGGAAACAATTCATTGAATACTATTCTACTTGTTGACAACTTTCTATTTTGTTTGTCATTAGCTATGGCTAAACGATTTTCCATTAAAAATAGACTGCATGAAGGCATTTAAATTAGGAGAGCTATAAAGAAAAAGATTTTCAGTCTTGAGTGATATGGCTTTGAAATCTCAGCATTGTCCTAATGTTCATTGGAAGCTGGAGCTGGTATTGCCTTTCAGGCCTCTTCTGACACTGTGCTTTGTGCTCTGTACTTTTGACACTCTATTTTAAGAGTCAAAGGCTGTTTTCCTTGTGATATAACCTTGTATTTTTTTTATTTTTTTCTGAGGTGCACAGAAAGTCACAGAGGCCTTTACTATAAAAAGTTGCTTCTTGCTTCTAGTTATTACTAACTTCTCTTTTCCCACCCAAGAATATCAGTTTACGGTCTGAGCCCAAGCTCAAGAAAGCTCGGTGCTGTGTTTGGAGTTACACAGGTGCTCTGCTTTGTGCCACAGATAAGCAGCCAACTTACCAAAAGGTAAACAGGCTGGAAAGCATATATCTGCTAGCTCTTTGGCATCTTCCTCTTGGGAGGGAGAATGTTAGAAAACAGGTAAGGACGTGGAAGGAGTAAGGAGAAAACAGCAGGAAAAGGGAATGAGGGGCTACACGTGTTCTTGTTTTATGTATGGACAGTGTGTTACAGAATGGTGCTGTGGCCTTACAGATCAGTTTGAGACAAAARCACATGTGCCTGGAGCTTCAGTTGTTACCTCAAGGCTTGCAGTTACTTCTCTTCTAGGAAATTGTGTTGTTGTGATCTAGCCAYGTGAAATGTCCCAGAGGGAGATATTTCGCCAATTCTTTCCAGATTGAGTTGGAGAGATGCTGCAGGTGTGGTCTGGCAGGTATGCTGAGCTCACTGGGTGGTTGTGCARTGTGTATCGTCTGCTTGGGATGCACCAAATCTGCTCAGAGGAACATCATAACTTCTGTGCCACGTTAGCATCTCATGTATCTGACACATCTGGATGACAGGAGGATGAGTGGTCTGGCACATGAGAAAGGATTCTTCAAAGGAATAGCAATAGATGTAGATCCTGCAGTGCTGAGCATAAGGCAGCTGAATATGAATCTTACAGCAARTATGTACGACGGGTCCATGATGAAGTGGATTGTTGAAATTGTTTCTTTTGCACCAGTCCATACAAAACTTTGTTTCTGCAATCAAGGTAATACTTTTAACTGAAAATATCTTTGAAGGTGGAGCTTATTTCTGTGTAGCCATACCCTCTGTTCCTCATCCTCCTGAGGAGGGGAAAAAACAAAACAAAACAAAAAMAAAAAAAAAACCACCCAAATGCTTTATCAAGATCTCATTTATGCCCATTAGACACAATCATATCACAGGAAATGATAGGGCCACAGATTTTAAATCAGGAAATACATAGCTAAGGTGGTACTGTGTATTCTGCACCAGTCAATCTTGATTCGGTTCTTACAGGCAGTAGTAAAATTCAATGGCAGTAGTAACCATATGACATACTTTTATTTATTTATTCATTTTCCCCTTTTTAAACAGATAACCTGATAACTCAAACACTGGCCTGGGGCCTGAACCAATGGACCAGTTCTCAAGATAGCTACTACATGCATAGTGACTTTAGGGAGGCGACTGGCAGACAGTGGCCATCATAACTTTTACTTGTCCACTAAACGTCCTGTAATACATGACAGCAATTACAGTGTTTTGATTTGGCATCTAGCTTTGTTCTACTTTCTGTAAATTAGGGAATTTAAGTGATAAAATTTATCATTTTATTCAGAGCCAGAAAGTAGTTGACTCATTGAATTTTTATCATGAAACCAAAAYGATTTAAACTTGGCAAATTTGCGAAAGACAACACGCTGGCTTATCATGATATTGATATTTCTTTCAAAATATTGTTGTTATCTAGATTTACAAATATGCCAGCCTGTAATAATTATTTAAATAATGAGGAGAGATTGTGTACCTAATTAGATGCTTTGAAAAACAGAGGATAAATTTGACCCACATAAGGAGGAAAATATTTACTACTTTGAGTAAAACATGTGGGTTRTTGTAACATTCTGTGTAATTCTTTTTAGATCTTTCTCTTATTTCCAGTGTCCACATTTTAAATATTTTTGTAAGATAACTAAAAGCTGTTCAGTGAATCCAGCCATTTCCTTTTACTTGATGTGTTTAGACTTTGTAGTCCTTTTAATGCATTGCTAAATGTATATATCATGGAATGCCTAAGCATTCCAAGTTTATTCAACTTTGTTCTTAATGTTTGGGTTTACATGTGCATAAATTTATCTGTGAACAACACCAAAGAATGGACTGTTCTCTGTGCCCTGACTGTCAGAGTCTTTATAGAGTGGGTGGCTTAAGTTTTACTCGTCTTATTTTATTCTGACACCGTAAAGCTGAAAATTGCTATGTGCCCTTCAAGAATAACTAAACTCGCCTTAAGTATTATGTTCTCAGTTCTCTGCATGCTCCTATTTGGCTGTCTTCCTCATTGACTTCTGTAGAGCTCATTTGCTGCCTTAAAAAACTGTTGAGCCTTCTTGGTGCCTAACACAACTGGCCTTGAACTTCACTGTTGGTTGTCAACACGACTTAGAAAGGGCTGTGTGGTCTTTGTGTGCTGTTCTGTGATGGAAACCAAATGTAATGAGTCTACCCAGCCTGGTTTCTGTGTACCCTGGGCCACGTAGTGCTGTGGGGTGCTGGCAAGCAAGCCTATGGACCGGGAGAGAAGAGCAGAACCCGCAGCTCTGCCTCATCCAAGGACTGCTCAGGAGGCTTGTACRAGTCAGGAGTGTGATAGGTGATGGGACGTATTGGATCATCTGCTTATCTTATGTCCTGGATGTATGTTGGGTGTGCTGTAAGTAAATACCAAGGATCTGAAACCACTCGCTGCCAAGCGTAGCTCTTTAGAACTTTGGGAAGTGGGCATTTGCACAATATATTATTTTTTTCGCAAGCAGAAATTGAAAACAAATGTAGTAATAAAGCATACAATTTATAGTGTATGGAAATCTAGCACCTTGCCCAGACCTACTCCTGATAACATTGATATAAAGTATTGTGGTTGTACCTGATGAAAGAAATCTGAAATTCTGCAAAAAGCTGGATCAGTAGTTGTAATGCTGCCTTTGTAGGCACCGAACTAAGGGTTTTCACAGKGTTCTCTTCTGATGCCCTGCTTCTCAGTGTTGAGACTGTTTAAAGACCATCTTTGTGGTTTTTACCAGGTGTTTCCTCTTGGTATGCATCGTAAATATTGTAATTGTAAGTATTAAGAAAGGAAAAAATAGATCAAGTATTTGGATTTTTAAAAAATTAATTGCTCTCGCACTATTTTTGTAAAAATAGTGGKKTTTTTTTGTTTTATTTGTTTTTAGTATATCTTGTTTGAGAGATGCTTGAATTATATGGGTGTTTATGTCTAGAAAGGATTTGTGGGATACACTTTTATTGAGGACACTTGCACTTTTTGAATATGTTTAAATACAGTAGTCCTATTATCACACAAAAAATAATCAGTGCAGATCTTTTGCTTTCTGCATAGTGAAGCTGTATAACAGTACTTTTCCTGTGCTACTGTGTTATCTTTCCCTGTGCGATCAGTTTTTGCCTTTTGCTATAAAGCAATGAAGACCACAGGGGTTGTCATATACTCTTTRTGTAATTTGACATATTGATTGCAATATTCTCTCTTATATCTCTCTCAAAATACAGAAGAAAGTTTAAAATGTTGTGAGAGCAAAAGTTCTATGTAGGAGATTTGATGCCTGTTTTCACCAACCAGTTTTACAGGTTGTATATTATAGGATTTCTCTTGAGTAGCCTGTGTCCACTAAAGCTGGTGTCAGGTACAGGAGGGTACCTCTTCTAGAGAGCAAATGGAAGTTCTGGGAACTCGAGTTATGTGAGGCTGATTAAATTCAATAGATAGCAGTTTTCTTGAAATTCTGCCATTGACCTAGTTTTTGGCCTTGAGCAACTCTCTCGTGCTTGTTCTCTCCTATTTCACTTCTTAACCTTCAAACTGTCTAACTAGATTGTGTGCTGGGACAGATGCGGTGTCATTCTGTATTAACAGCAGAGCACTTGGAGACTCTGAGTGCAGCCTTCAGGCTTCAGTGCGCTTCAGAGTGGTGGGATGGGGCCTTAGTGGGACCCAAATGGCTCCACTCTTCAAAGCCTCTGAGGATGTGAACTGTGTGTTCACTGTGATGGCTTTTCTCAAGAAATTAGCTTTGAGACCAGAATTTATATGGTATTGAAGTACGTATCTAATGTTCAAGCAAACAAGTAGCTCTGTTAAAGTTAATGGGATCTAAATCTAATTTGTTGTATTTAAATTCTAAGGTCGTTTATTAAACTTTATGGACACTAGTCTATAGTTGTTAGAAGATGTGATCTTTCTGGCATCTGAAATATGTAAAGGGCATTGTGAGAGTGTGAGAAAGATGAACAGTCGTTGGTTCCAAGCTAATAATTTCAGCTTCTTGTTTGCACCTCAATGATGCTGAAGGTAGCAAGGCTTCAGCCCAGAGCAGCTGCTGGAGGAGTTAAAGCAGGAGAGGAAAGCAGGGATGAGTAAGGAATGAGTTCTGGKCTGCACTGCAGTGCCCACGTTTAGTTGTCTGAATAAGACGGTACTGGC